GATTGCTTTGGCTAGAATTGATATTTTCACAATGTTAAACTTTCCTATCCAGGAACAAGGCATCTTCTTTCACATATGTAGGTCTCTTTTGGTTTCTTGTACTACGCTTTGTAGTTTTCTTTGTACAAGTCTTTTGTTTCTCTGGTTAGAGTAATTCATAAGTGTTTAATCTTTGGGTGATTATTGTCAATGGTTTTATGTTCTTGATTTCCTTTTCAGAGCTCTCTTTCTTAGTATACAGCAGAGATTCCCATATTTATTTGCCCTATCACCCACTTTTCAGGAAAAAAAAATTACTCAGCACCCCCTGGCAACTAAAAAACGTTTTTGTACCTTCAGCTCATAATCCAGGATTAACTGTAGTATCTGCTTTAGCAGCCACCCTGGAGTCTTCCAGCATCCCCTGGTATCACCCATTTGGGAATGTCCTGGCATACAGTAATCCAATTTATTTATTTTTTAATAATCTTGTACCTCACCACACTGCTGAATCTTTCCACTAGTTTAACAATGTTCTTGTTGAGTCCTGGGTTTTTTCAAGGTAGAGAATCATATTATTTAAAAATAGAGTTTTACTTCTTTACCAGTCTGAATGCCTTTGATTTCTTTTTGTTGTCTAATAGCTCTAGCTAAGACTTCCAGTGCAATATTGAGTAAAATCATGATGAGAGCATCCTTGTCTGGTTCCTATTTTTCAGGAGAAATGCTTTCAGTTTCCCCTCATGTGGAAAATATTGGCCATTGGTTTTTCATATGTGTCCTTTTTTATGCTGAGGAATTTTTCTACTATTTCTATTTTTTTGAGGATTTTTATCAGGAATGGGTGTTGGATTTTATCAAATGGCTTTTGTGTATCCATTGATATGATTGTGTAGGATTTTTCCCCCTTTATTTTATTTACATGGTGAGTTTCATTGATTGTTTTTCTGATGTCTAACCATCCTTGCATGCCTTGATCTCAGATCTTTCTTTCTTTCTTTTTTTAAAATAAATCATTGTATTGGGGGCTTGTACAACCCTTATCACCACACATACATTGTGTCAAGCACATTTATACATTTGTTGCCATAATCATTTTCAAAACATTTTCTTTCTACTTGAACCCTTAGTATCAGCTCCTCATTTTCCCCCTCCCTCCCTCATGAACTCTTGATAATTTCTAAATTATTTTTTTTTCATGTGTTACATTGACCAATGTCTCCCTTTACCCACTTTTCGGTTGTCCATCCCCCTGGGAGGGAGTTATAAATAGATCATTGTGATCGGTTCCCCTTTTCTCTTTTCACCTTCCCCTTACCCTCTTGGTATGGCTAGTCTCAATATTGGTCCCAAGGGGTTTATCTGTCCTGGATTCCCTGTGTTTCCAGCTCTTATCTGTACCCATGTACATGCTCTGGTCTAGCAAGATTTGTAAAGTAGAATTGGGGTCATGATAGTGGATGTAGGAAGCATTAAGGAACTAGAGGAAAGCTGTATGTTTCATCACTGCTATACTGGACCCTGGATGGCCTGTCTCCTCCCTGCAACCCTAATTGCCTACAGACTGGCTCTGGTGCAAGGGTCCTCAAACTACGGCCTGCGGGCCACATGTGGCCCACCGAGGACATTTATCTGGCCCACCGGGTGTTTTTGTTCTGTTTTTTTTACTTCAAACTAAAATATGTGCAGTGTGCATAGGAATTTGTTCATAGTTCTTTTTTAAACTATAGTCTGGCCCTCCTAAGGTCTGAGGGACAGTGAACTGGCCCCCTGTTTAAAAAGTTTAAGGACCCTGGCTTTGGGTCTCCACTCTATACAACCTCTCCCCTCTATTCACAATGACATGATTTTTAGTTCTGGATCTTTGATGCCTGATTCTTGATCCCATGGACACTTCATGATCACATGGGCTGGTGTTCTTCTTCCATGTGGGCTTTGTTGCTTCCCAGCTAGACGGCTGCTTGTTTATCTTCAAGCCTTTAAGACCCCAAATGCTATATCTTATGATAGCCGGGCACCATCAGCTTTCTTCACCGCATTTGCTTATGCCCCCATTTTGTCTTCGGCGATCGATCATATCGGGAAGATGAGCATCTCAGAGTGCCAGATTATTAGAACAAAGTGTTCTTGTGTCAAGGGAGTATTTGATTAGAGGTCCAATGCCCATCTTTCTTCTGAATCATCACCTTTTTGGTTTACAGTAACCAAGTGCCTAAAAGTTTATTCCCCCAGGGGATTTATAATATTGAAATACATGTAATCTGGAAAGTTAAAATAGTTAAAAAATAAAGACTGCTCCTCCCACCAAAAGCAACAAGAGGATCAGAAAAGTTCAGTACTTATTCCTGACATATTGGGAAAATATTTACATGTTATGAATATCTATGGATTTCAATGAACAGGATTAAAAAATAAAATAAACATTAAAAGATATTTCTGATATGTTAGGTGCCATAAAGTAAAGGGAAAGGAAAGAAAGCTTCTTAGCTGAAGTGCCCATGATTACACACCCTGTTTGAAGAAAATAAAATAGAAGTAGGGACTAAATTCTTAGGGGTCCTTGAGTGGCACCAGTAGTTAAGCACTCAACTATTAACCAAAAGGTTGGTGGTTTTAACCTCCCAGAGACAGTTTAGAAGACACACTTGGTAATTTGCTTCTAAAAGATCACAGCCCTGAACCCCCCATGAGAGCAGTTCAACTCTGCTCATCCGGTCCCTGGAGTCAGATTGACTCACTGGCACTGGGAACAATGACAACGACAGAGTCTAAGAATACGTGAATGAATGCATGAAAAATAGTGGAGAGACCAATGCCTTCAGTGGTGGTTTCGATGGAGGAATGAACCCATTTAAAAGTTGTTTCCACTTTGTTTGTTTAAGTGACTGGGAGATACACATGGATTGAGCCTCTGGTCAGTCTCCTCTGGACCAAGAACGTGAACAGCCATCATGCTATGCTGCTGAGTGCACTGGAAAGTGTATTGTTGCAGATACAGTCAAATACAGCAGAGACACCTTATCATTAGATTTCCCTTTTGACCCATTTTAAATTTGTTCTTGGTTTTCATGGTTTTTGCTTTCTTTTCCATTAAGGGTTTTCTCTGTTTTACTTTGTTATTGTTGTTAGGGGTTTTTTGTTGTTGTTGTTGTTGTTTTCTTTTGTTCTGTGTGTTTCTCTGTGTATGAAATCCAGGATAGGTAAATCTATAGCCACTGTAACTGGAGTAATGGTTTCTTAGGGGTATGGAATAGAAGGTTGGGGGTGAATGGGGAGCTAAAAAATGAATACAAGAAAGAATAAAATGTTCTAAACTTGATTGTGGTGATGACTGTACAACTCATCCTGATGTAATCGGACAATTGAATTGTATGATATTTGGATTGTGTGCCAATAAAACTGTTTTAAAAAATTCATTTTCATACTTACCTGGCAGGAGAGATACTATGATCATGAAGGTGGTTTTCCCAGGGCGAGACTTATCCATTGCACTCCGGATGTGCTGACCCCTGCGATTTCCCCAAATGTGGGAAACTCTACTGCATAATTTTTGGTAGTGGGGGACTACATTCGCACTCTCCCATGATTAAAAAAAATTCAATTTCTAGCAATAAAAACTGAAGGCATATTTTATCATATTCTTTAGTTTCTTAAGAAACAGCATTTCTGTGGTGACCTAAGTTTAGCAATCATTAATTTTTAAAGTAAGCATGACTTTAGGGGAACTGGAAGTGTCCTAAAGGGCTCAGTTACTATAGTCAGATTATAGGCAAAGGGAGCATATTCTAGAATTTAGGAGGGTTCATGGGAAAGAAAGGTCTTTATGTAATTGACAAGACAAATAAGGAAATTTTAGCTTAAAGCTGATTTTCTTGACCCAGGGTTAACATATTAGCTTTAAGAGATTGAAAGAATACCTGATACTGTCTATCACATTTGGTTTCTGTATATGAATATTGTTATTTTCTCCACATGAGGTATATATATCTTAATGAGGTCTTCATATCATCATACTTAAAAGGGTTATATGGCCCTTAGAAGCTTATGCACCACTGTTCCGAAGAATTACATCTCTAATCCCTCAGTCTAAATTGAACCTTCTTCCACCTTAAACTATGGTACCACACAGCCTCCTTTTCCTCTCCCCGCTGCTTGATCCCCATTCTCTAAGAACTCATCTCTCATTGAAAGACGAAATGTTGCAATTCAGAAAATCGGGCCTCAAGTTAGTTTTGAAATTTGTCTCTGGCCATGTTGATGAATATTCCATAGACCATTTAATTAGTGACTTTTCTTTTGTGCCGTTGAATTATCACATCATCTGCCTTCAAGAATTCTGAGTGTTAAGGCATTACGCCAAATACATGGGGGGGGGGGAGCAATTTACTACAAAAAGAATCGGATTTTTAGGTGTACATGCTCCTCCATACACTTTAGCTGACAGAGCCCATCAACACCAAAAAGCAACCTCAAAAGACTATGCCGCTCAATGCTTCTTGGAAAGGGAATCTAGGTAGGATGCTTCATTAGCAAAGACAAAATGTTTTGAAAATGATCATAGCAACAAATGTACAAATGTGCTTGACACAATGGATGGATGTATGGCTTGTGATAAGAGCTGTGTGAGCCCCCAATAAAATGATTTTTTAAAAGATCTAAAGGTAGTTTGGGATTTTGGTTTTTCTCCTCTTTTCCTTTTGTATGTTGAACATTTAAAAGTTGTTAATGTATGTTAAGCTCAGTTATGTCCTTCCACCAGGAAGAGGAGGCAGATATGTTGCACGTGTGTCAAATTTACTTGGAAAGTAGCCATCCAAATTCTTAAGGGACTAAAACAGCAACGTGATTAGTCATTTTTAAATTCCTAAACAGCTGCATATCCAGTATCTCCTTTGCACATAAGATTCAATGCCTTGGTGCATTCTATTATGCAAATTAGTATTAAATAAATTTCAAATCATTTACCAAAAGAAGCTAATCCTAATCTCTTTTTTCCCCACACAGAGAGACTGCCGCAGAGTTAGCTGGACGCCTACCAAGGTGAGTAAGCTGATTCTGCTGATTCTGTCAGTGGCTCCTCACAGGCACCATCGGATGCGTGCTTGGCCACTTGAAGAGGTGTCTTCAGTTTCTCTTGTTCTTGTCAGATTTTAAGATCTCATCTTTCACTGTGTCAATGTGAAAAAAAAATGTGCACGCTTTACACGTGGTGTTGTAACTGCAAAGTAATGAGGCCAATGCTCAAAGAAGAAACTATTGTCGTCCCGTTGAAGGTGCATCAGGCGGTATTCAGAGGTGTGTGTACGGGCTCTGCTCTCCACGGTACTCACAAAGTACAGTGCTTCTTTTATGATATTCACTGGCAGTGGGGAATCTAAAGGGGAATCTAAATTGTTTTTTTCTGTTTCTTTGGTTTTTGCTTGAGTTTATCCATTATTGTGGTGATGCTGAAAAACTTGTAGATTTATGGGGAGAATCCCGATCATCTCCCAAAGAATTTTGAGTTTGGGGATACCCATATGTGTACATTATAAAATTTCTGTTGTTGTTGTTGTTGAAATAATGCCCAGGAGTTTCTAGATGGCATAAGAGGTTAAGTGTTCCACTACTAAGCCAAAGGTTCGCAGTTCGAGCTCACTATGAGACACGAGAGAAGACAGAGAAGTCTACTTCCAAAAAACCCCAGCTTTGAACCCCTGTGGAGCAATTCTTCACAGCTCACTCACACAAGACTCCGTGAGTCAGAATTGACTTGATGACAACAACAACAACAACAACATTATCCTCCAGGAAAAAGTAAAATAAGTGCTGCATAAACTGGATGTTAAATATGATTAACAGGATGCAAACTATAGGCACAGCCATCAAAAAGGGTTTTTGTTGTTTGACGGTGGAAGGAAAACTACTATTTAACAGTGGGGGAGAAAAAAGAAAGGAAGGAAAGAAGGGATGCTAATTATTTTAAAAGATACATTACTGTATCTTACATATGGCACCAAATAGTATGCTTTCAGTCATAGGAGGTGCTCAAGGACTGCTTGTGACTGAATTAATGTCCTAGGGTATTGCCTGGGAACTGGTGGAAATGGAAATCCAGACTAGGATAGAGAGGAGCGAACAGAATGTGAGAATGCACAGCACTTGGGAACGAGGGGAAGTACATATCGTCACCATCTGCTACGGCAGAGAAGCACATTTGGTTGCTTTTTTTCTTTTCTTTTCTTTTCATTTTTGAAAGAAAAGAAAACCTTTGCTTCTAGACTCATGATTCATATTGCCAAAAAACTGTTTACGGTGATCCAAATATTTAAATTACTCTATGTCTTAGTCCTGTGGATGGCTATCCCAGAGACACATTGCAACTGTGCCCCGGTTTCCAGGGCTACAACTGCCCCTGTGTCCCGGCTTCTACATCCCCAGTGCCTTTGTCACTGTGCTTTACTCTGGAAAATAGCCCACCCCAAACACCTGAGCCTCCCACCATGTGCGGGGCAGGGGAAGGGCACGGGGGCAGGGAAAGAGAGAATGCGGTGCCCATATTTGCGGTGAAGACATTAATCCTGACATCATGGAAGGAGGCATGACTTCCAAACTTTTGTAGAATGGCTAAGGAACGGACCGCCTCTGTATTGCCAGAGAAGATGCACACAGTACTGTAATCATGCAGGTGGAAATTTCTCTGATGTCTGAGAACTTTGGGGTGGCATCCTGAATTCTCTTAAGGATCATTAGGTTGTGAAGGTGAAACAGCAGTTCACGAATGCCCTGAGAACACTCTTCCATTGTACTTGGTTTCTTCCTCTAGGGAGAGTCCGCTTTTTCTTGAGTCGGGTAGGAGGCATTTTGGTAACCACCCTTTTTTTTTTTAATTCTCTCATGAATTCTGTCATTCTAATGTTGATTTGTGTTGAAATTCTAATGTTGATTTGTGTTGAAAAGCAACAAGATGCCCACGGGTCTAGTCTTCCCTGCAACTCTTATTCGTTGTGATGCATGGCGATAAGGGTGTGGAAAGGCTATGTCAGTTATTTCTCAATTATTCTCCTCTCAGAACCTGAGGAATGCTTCTGATTTTCCCCGAGGGGCGATTTTTGAGACCTATCCACTGACAAGCATGGCCCCCGCCCCTCCGCACATTAGCATCAACTATAACACTGGATGATGATAAATACCCGCTGGGTGTCCGGAAGAGTTCTTCCTTCTGCTCGCATTGGTCGGTGTGTTTGTACAATCAGGTAGAATCCCATGGCTCGTTCCATGTTCAGCCCCTCTCCGATTTCTTCAGGCGGTTAGGGGAAAAGTGCAAATGAGCCTTGAAATATCTCAGTGCTATTTAGAACCAGGCACCTGGAGCTCTTTCTGTTTGCTTGCTGGCTAATGATTAGTGGAACATGACACAGGATTTTTCTTTTTTATCTTTTTAGTCATAGAAGAGTGCTTACACTCTGGCATCTAGGCCAAATGAAAGGCGGCAGTGCAGGCAACTACAAACTGGTGATCCGCGGCAGAGAAGGAAGACAGTGGTGTTTTATAGCAGTTTTATGATTGGGGTTTCATTGGCTTTTGACCATCTAGAAATGTTCCGAAAGGCCGTTTACAAATAATGCACAAGGGTTGGAGTATTTCAATTCTAATTGCCTTACATGGCATTAATTTAAACTAGCTGGCCACCGGTTGATAATATTCTGCAAACATATACAAATCATGCACCCGTAGATTGTGTCTGGGTCGTTAAAAATGCTTTGAAGTTAAAATGAGATATGGACCCAGAGTGCTTGAACAAGCACCAGGTTTGTTTTTCTATTACTAATGACAACCTCAATGTGATTTTGAATTCTTGCCATTGCTGAAATTAAAACCTAGGAACAGTATGTCACCAGAAGAAAATAAAATGAGAATTTATGAGTGTATGCACGAAGCATGATAATTATGTTGTAAGTATGAAAACCAGTGATCTTGTCAGAACTCAAGCAAATCTTTAAATTGGCTACATGTACCACTTATGTGGTCCTCTTTATCTCGAGGTATCCTGGGAAGGGAAGGCACAGCTCTCGTTCTTGAACTATGAAAAATGATTACTCCCACTTTTGCATATGACTCTCGCCTTTTATCTTCCTTGTCACAAAGGACAATTTAGCCACCTGCACACTGTTTTTCCCATTCAGGCCTGTCTTCCAAGCTGTGTGTGTCTGTGCGTGTTGATGGTATAGTGTTTGGTGTAGACAGGCATGTTTTAGTTCAATCACTGGGGAACCCTTATTGTTCTGATGGAATGGAGGCATGAAATGAATTATGATAGGATGGGGGGGGGGGGTTACTACGATTGAACAAACCCAATAGGTGCTCCTTGAGAGAAAGGTTGGGCTCTCTGCTCCTGTAACCATCGGCAGGCGTGGATTCCCGGCGCAGGATTGCTGAGTGGGAATAGCGTCAACGGCAGTGGGTTTGGTTACAGAGACGTCTTTTGGACATGCCATCAGGAAGCATCCATCCCTGGGGAAGGACATCATGTTTGGGAAAGGGGAGAGTCCGTGAAAAAGAGGAAGACCTTCGAGAGATGGACGGACACAGTGGCTGCCACAGTGGACTCAAACACAGGAACAACTGTGACGATAGCACAGGATGGGCCGTGTTTGTTATTCACAGGACCCTTGTCAGGTCGAACTGACTTGACAAGACCTAACAACAACAACAACAACAAGATATAAATAAAACTTTATTCAAAAACGTTTTATCCCGATGATGGGACATGAGCAGCTGTTTTTTATTTTAAGTATAGAATATTTTACTTCCTTGTGGACATTGTCTTATATTTTTCAACACAGAAAAACAGTATGGAAAAGGCAGGGCCTTAATAAACTTTAACATACATATCTTAACTACTGCAATAGAAATTCATGAGCTGCTTCTTTTAGCACGGCATTCATAAGTGAGGCAGCTTGTTGAGGAGGGTGAAATACCAGTAAATGAGCCTTAAGAAAATTCAGTATATAAATCAGAATGTCATCTCCTACTAGATTTTTGTATACACCCATGGAAGCAGGTGCTAAAGGTTGAAGTAAGATGATGCAGGAAAGCCTTAGGTTTTTCACCTGTGTTTTCTGCAACAATTTGATCTTTTTTTCTTCTATGGCTTATTTGAGGGACCTAAGTATTCTGAATAAGGCGTACTGGTAGTGTCGTGAGTTACAAGTTGGGCTACTAACCCGAAGGTCAGCCGTTCAAAACCACCATCCGCTCCTCAGGGGAAAGGTGAGGCTTCCTATTCCTTTAAAAATGTACAGCCTCTGAAGCCGACAGGAACAGTTCGTCTCTGTCCTGCAGAGTGGCTGTGAGTTGGAAGTGACTTGATGGGAGTAAGGTTCCACACAGGAGGAATGGGTGGCCACTGAGGTCGGGACAGAGAGAGAGATCCTGGGACCACAGCAAGAGCATGCCTGAGAGCTCTGTCTGAAGCTTCAGGGGCCACCGAGACCAGATACACCTGAGACTGTGGCTTGGAGACTCCGAGGCGCAGCACCCAGGCTGTGGGTACCTCTCTCCTCATCTGGCCTGAGTTTATGGGACTGTGAGACAGAGCAATGGTGGGCTGATGAAGCCTGTCCCACAGAAGCCAAAGCCAAGGCACCACGTGGCTAAGAAGTGGCAAACCAAAGACCACTGACTACTACATCCTTACAAGTCCCTGGTCCTGACTGGTGGTAACCTGATGATGTCCCTAAGAAGCTCCCTAAATCACGAATGCTGTCGGTAGGTTTTCTGTGGCCCTTGTAACGAACAGTAGAACCTAACATCCAAAGGAGATTATGTTCTGTGTGACCATGCAGGGCTGAAGTTCCCATAGGATCCCGTGGCACCTCCACACGTGGCACCTCCACACGTTCCGCTCCCCAGAGCCTTCTGGTCTCACATGAACTGCTTGGCTAAGCCTAAAGGGAAAGTGCACCAGCCAAAGGGCATGATTTCCAGACCCATCATGACTCATCTAGTGCCTAACCATGTTGTAAACTAGCTCCCCGTTCACAATTGCAGTGGGCAAG